CGGGACGGGGAGACTCCCGTCGCCAGAGGGAAGTCCGCTGCGCATTCCGGAGGAGAAATCCCGAGGTACGCGACCGCAACCGGCACCGGGCCGCCGCCGCCGCCGGTGCGCCACCGCCCGCGCCCGCCGCCGTCGCCCCGCCCACCCCGCCCGCCCTCGCGGCGCCGGTCGCCGCCGCCGCCCTTGCTGCCACCCTCGCCGCCCTTGCCGCGCCCCCTGCGCTCGCCCTTGCCGCCGCCGCCGCCCTTGCCGCCGCCGCCGCGCCCGCGCCCACGCCCGCTGCCCTTTGACCTCGCGCGCCGGTCCGCCTCCTTGATCATGTCTTCCCCAAACGTACTGATGTCGTTCTTGCGCATCTCCGCGCGGAACGCGCGGCCGCCCTTGCGGCCGCCCTCCTCTGCAACCTCCTCGTCAAGCGTGTCGAACATGGAGACCTTTGGGTTGTACGCGGTCGTCGTCTTGACGCGCTCGCTCGCCTCCTGCATCACCGCCGCCTGGTGGCGGCGGGGGGGAAGGGACGGCTTGAGCCGGCGCGGGAGGGGGGGGGGCGCATGACGCCGGCGCGCACCTTGTCGAAGCCCGCGAGCATGGCCTGGATGTCATACTCCTCCGCATGGCCGTTTGCAGAGCCATTCGGCGCCGGGCGCGGCATGCCCGGCTGCGCTCGGCCGCCGCGGGCCTTGTTCTGGCCCTGGGTGCGAGGAGCCGCCGGCGCCGGCGCCACGGCGCTGGCCTGCGATGGGTTGGCGCCCCACGCCGGCGCTGCCTCCGAGGCCGCTGCCGCCGGCCTCGGAGGCAGCGCCTCTGGCGCTTGCTCGGGTGCCGCAGACGTGACCGACGTGGCGGCCGCGGGCTGCGAGGCGGTCGACTCGCACACATGCAGATCCTTGATGTCGGCGCCGCGAAAGATGATATACTCGTAAATCTGCGCGTGGCGCGGGAGGGGCGCGGCGAGGTGGCGCGTTGGTGGCGGCGTGCAGAGAGGAGCGCCTCTGGGCGCTGCGCACCTGCGACGACGCTGGGATGACGCCCTCGGTCTTGCGGTCTTCCGTGCCAAAAGAGCGTACCTGGTGCAGCTTGACAGTCGAGGCGGCCGTGTCGACCGAGCCGAGCGTGCCCTCGTACCTGCAGAGCGGAGGGGGCGAGACCTCGCGCTGCGCAGAGCGGCTGCGACACGCAGTCGCCGCTGGAGAGAGAGGAGGCGCGCCGCGCGCACGAGCGCGCGCCTGATCTCGCTCTTGGAGATGAGGACGATGCGAGAGCCGATGTAGGGGACCGATGGCGTGGCCATTTTTCGTACGGTGGTCTGCGGTGGTGACGGATAGCGAGTCTGTATATACCACTCCCAGCTGCTCGGTGTGAACAGAGTTCGTACAACGCGATGAGCCTCAGGTCGCCGGAAAACCAAGAAAACCTCTCGTGGGCGTCGGATTTTCTTGTTGCACAGGGGAGTGGACCGAGTTGGTGCGGGCACGCAAGGCTTCCGAGGAAGCCGTCCCTGGCCTTGTCTGTCGTGTGAATCGTGTTGCGTGACTGTCTCTGCGCGATTTCGGGCCCGGGGTTGTTGAAATTCTTCATGTGGCGCCGAGTAAAATTCTTCGACACCACTGATAGCGAGTCTCTATAGCTGCTCGGTGTGAACAGAGTTCGGTTTTGGGTTTAGGTGGCACGACGCTCATCGCGCCTGCCAGCGCTGCCGTGCAGGTTGCCACGACGAGGTCGAGCACGCTTCTATACGCTCGCCCAGCCTTCCTTTCCATCCCATTAGGCAGCCTGGGAACGGTGGCGGTCAGAGGCAAAGCCTGCGAGGGGTGGTGGAACCACATGTCACGGCCACCGCCGGCTCGACCCCACGATAGCGTCCGGAGGCTGACTTTGAGGCACAATCATCGGACGACGTCGGCGAGTTGAGAGAGAGAGATTTTTAAAGACCAACAAGAAATCACGACTCTCACAGTGATTTGGGCTCGGCAGCTTGTTAGCCCTCAGCCGAAGCTGGGGCCGGTCCCGTAGCCGAGAGAGCCCGCGCCGATGAGTTCGAGTTGAGTCGCGCTCGCGGTAGCCAGATGTGAGATGACCTCTCATACTAGTATCATATCGGCCATGGCCGCAGGAAGCGGGGGATTCCGCTGGGAGCAACACGGAGCTCCGTTGGACGCGTTTTCAAGAGTAGCGTGTCAGAGTGAATTGGAACTAGCCACAATGCCACTCTCGCACACGCACCAGGGCTGATGCATTAAACGTTAACACGGTGTTCACACGTTAACGGTTAACACCACAGCCGTAGAGGTGTTAAAACGTGTTAACACCGCCCCTAGGGAGGTGTTGATACGTCTCGATGTCGTCTGCTGTACTAGAGAGAGGTTGGGTGAGGGTGTGCACTGCAGTGGCCAAGTTGCGGTTGCACGCATGGGCACTGCCGTCAAAAACCATGACCTCCTGCGGTCCTGGATGGCTAGTGGTTGTGAGGCCAGAGCTAAAACATAGATTCAAAGAGCGGGTGAGCATACGCTCGAGACGCACTGTGGTTCCACCTTGTCTTTGACCCGGTGCCGGCGGCTATCGAAATGAGCGACACCATTGGGCAGTGCCTCCAGGACCGGTCGGGCAAGTGTATCTGGTCAAGTGAGACACCGTGCGATTCGTGTGATGATTCCTGACAATCCTCTCAGTCAGCTTTTGTCACAGTTCCCAGAGAGTCTGAGAGGAAGTGCGGGTCAGCTCGACAGCCGGTGAGCCGGAGCTGTGTCGCCGACGCCTGCGCCTGGGCAGGAGGCAGGCCGGCGCTGCGTCACAGCCGCCTTCTTCCACGCGTGGGCAGTACATGGTCCAGTGTGCGTATTGAGCAGACAGATCAGTACCGCCGCAGTTGGCGCAGGGGCCCTGGGAGTAGGGCGCGCGCGGCATTGAGGCGGACCCAGGTATTTCTCGGGTATACCCGGTTTTTTGCAGGTATACCGGGTTTCACCAGGAGCGTGTGTCAACACCGTGTTAACGGCTGTGTTAACGCTTGTTTTGGGACTGCGTGGCTTTCGCTGCAGGCCCAGCGCATGTCAGTCGCGCTGCAGCTCGCGGCGGCGGAAGAGATTGCGACCGAGCTCAGGCTCGCCGCGGCGTCGGAGGACGCCGCCGTCGCCTAGACTCCCCTGCGTCACTACGTGCCTCCCCGTCTTTGTAGCCTGGCGTTTGTGCCCCGTTTGTGCCGCGTCCCGTGCCCCCGAGTTCATTTTATATATTTGGGACTGCCGTTCAACTGTGTTAACACCGACCTTTGCGCCAAGTGTTGACACGATCTGTAGTCAGAGCTGCCCCTGAGGCGTGTTAACGTTAATGCATCAGCCCTGACACGCACGATTCACACAACAGGCAAAAAGCGCGGACGACGGATAAGAGAAAAGGCCTTAATCAAAGTTTCTGTGGTTAGAATTCTTTGACCTGCCTCCAGCTTCTCGCTGCGGCAATCTCTCGGGATGGGTCGAGCCTGTCCCTCCGTGCAAACAAATTCTTTACAAACCGTCGTACCGGCCTCCATGGACCATGCCTCCGCCTCCGCCGTCCGCCTTTCCCCCACCCAAACACCCATGCCGAGCTACAACCATCTGAGTACAGAGAGGGCGCGCGCGCCAAAATCACAAGATGAGCGCGCGGGCGGGAGAGATTGTGCACTCTAGAGTCTCCACACACACCTCGCCGTCCGCAACTGACTCGCCTCAGTCGAGCAGCGCGTCCGCATCAAAGGGTGAGCCCACCTCGGCCATGCCCTCAGGCAAGCCGAGGCTGCGGTCGGTCCAACACCAGACGCGCCACACCTTGCGGCCGTCGCGGCCGCGCGAGGTGTAGCCCTCGCGCCCGTGCAGCACGCGGTAGTTGTTGATGAGCAGCGCCTCGCCTCGCCGCAGCGAGAAGCGCTCCGCCGCGCCGGCCTCCCTCTGGATGGCAGCGTCCACCGCCTCGAGCATCGCCTCTGTCTGCTCCGCCTCGTGCACGGCGCCCGCGGGCCTCCACAGCGACTGGTACGGCTGCAGCTCCGCGCGGACCGAGCTGGGCGCGCCGTCGGCGGGCTGCTCGATCCCGCTCTCGTACGCCCGCGTCTGTAGCTGCCGCCGCCACCAGACGCCGCCGTCTGAGCGCCGCCGGAAGATGGGACCAAAAGCCTCGCGGCCGGTGGCTATGCCCCCTGAGCTCACCCGCTCGGTGAGGTCGACCCTCGCCGTCTGCGCGGCGCCCACCAGCGGCGCGGTCGCCGCGTCGGCTTCGAGCCGCACGAGCACCGCCTCGCCGTCAACGACGAAGTTCTCGCCGCCGCGCTCGGCGGGCGCTTCGGCGACGAGGAAGATCACGTCCGGCATGTGGTCGCCGTACACGTAGCCGTCCGTATGAGGCAGCAGCGGCGCTCCCGCGGTGGTGAAGTTCGACGACCACGCCTCGCACCCCTCCGGGCTCTCGTGGCACTGGGACGCATACTGGTCCGAGACCTTTGCATTCTCCTCGTGGACTGCGTGCAGCGTGTTGGAGCCCGAGGAGAGCAGCCGGCCGGGGAAGACGCGCTCGGGCAGGCCGAGCGCCACCGCGCCCCAGTCGGCGGCCGCGCCCTCCTCTGTGAGGTTCGTGAGCACGACGAAGCCGCGAGTTGAGAGTGCTGCGCCGACCGCCTCCGAGTCGGCGACCGGCACGCGCGGCGGCGGCGCCGCCGCAGGGCAGTCCTGCGGTGCCGAGTCGGCGTGGACGAGCGGGGCGAGGAGCGAGAGCATGACGTGTTGATTGAGCTGAGGCTTCGGGGGGGCTGGTTAGGACTGGGAGGAGCCCCGGGCCGGAGGAAGTCGCCGGGAAACTTAATTTCTTTTTTTTTGCCTCCTTCCAAGCCTCCAGAATTTCTTTTTTCTTTGCCTCCTTCCAGCCCCTGCTCGAGACAGAGCCGTCAGCGGTGAGGGCGAGGCTGTGGAAATCTCCAGCCGCCACGCTCACGGCGCGCTCGCCGCCCAGCGCCGACGGGAGGCGGGTCGGCGTGTTGATGTCGCGGGGGAGGGTGACTGCACCAAAACCCGGGAAGAATTGAGAAGGGAACTTGAGATTGGCCTGCGCCGCATTTAGATATAGTGGCCAGTGGTCGAATTGTGTCGGCGGGCCGAGTGTCGTTTCGCCTCTGTCGTTGGTCCTGGGATCCGGGTCAGCGTGGTTGTGGGAGTGTGTATCGCGCGCCTTGCGGGGGGGGGCGGGAGAGCCCCGCAATCGGCCTGCGCGCGGCGCGCGGGCCCATAGCTATGAATGAAACTACCCCTACAGCGAGTTCGCACGGAGCGAGTCCGCGGGTGGAAACCTACCCTCCAGTGGAGAGAGCAGCGTCCATGTCAGGGGACGCGCCTCCTCCTGTTGGCCCCTTGCGAGAGGAGTCCCGGGGAAGCGCATCGTCACCGGACGACGATGTGATGAGCAACGCAACCTCCGGGCCTGACGACCCGGACTGGCTCGAGCCGCACCCCCAGGGGGCGCACGGGCATAGCCAACTCCAAGGGTTAGATGTAGCGGCATGGGCTGCGGCATCAACCATGGGTTTCCGATCGACGGGAGCCCTGAGGCGCGCGTCGACGGGAAACGTCGAGGCAAACCATATGTCCTACCAGCCCGACGGCTCGGGCGGACTCGACGACGCGGACCCATGGGGGTTGCGCTTCGAGACCGACCGAGGGCTGGACTCAGCGGCATGGGCTGCGAGATCGGCCGTAGGTTCCCCATCGCGGGGAGCCCCAGAGAACGCACCGGCGGGAGACGCCGAGGCAAACCACACAACCATGGGGTCGGACGACCCGCCGAGGGCACGGGCCCCCGGAGCACCGGGTCGTGACGACAGCGCGAGCGTCGCGAGCCAAGCCGGAATCCGCACTGCAGGAGCGCACGCTCCTGTAGGCATGCACGTGGCACACGGCGCCAAGGAGACCCTCGGCGCGGGTCACGACCACCGCCACGAGCCACGAGGCCACGGCAGGCAGTGGTACCACGACGCGCGGTGGCACTTCACGCCGCCGCCGAGCGACAAGGCGTACGACGCACCCGGCAAGGGTGCCCTCGAGGAGGAGCGGTCGCGACTGCAGAGCCGAGCGCTCCTGACGCCAGCTGCCCTGGGCGGCGGCGTCCAGGCGGGCGCCGCGCCCGGGGTGCGTGCCCTCCGCACGCACAAGCCCCCGGCGTTGCACGACACGCACAAGTACGCCGCACGGTGCGGCTCAGCGACCCCACCGCAGCGGGCTGTGGGGAAGGGAGCAGACACGGAGGGCAATCCTCCCTCAGACAGGGGAGATCATTACGTCGCCCTGGATGGCACGTCCTTCGGGCCCGAGAGGCGGGCGGACCGCGCCGAGCTCGCGAAGATGCGAGCGGAGCTCGAGCACATCCTCGCGCGGGCCCGAACCCTGCGGGGCAAGGCATGGGCACGAGACCTCGGGAAGGAGGCAACTGACCTCTTCGACACGACAGAGAGAGAGACCGAGCACTCCGACTCCGAGCTCTCCGCCATCAGGGCCGCCCTGGCGCGCGGCGCGGCGGCACGCCCCGGGGCGTGCCGCCCCAGGGACGTTGGGGACCCCGCCGCAAACCCCGTGCACCACCCCCCCAGCGGGCGAGTCACCCGGCCCCGCGCGGCCGAGCAATCAGCGCCTTCGAGCGCGGCCGCGCGCACCGCCGGTAGGGAGACCGACGGGCCGCTCTACGGCGCGGCGGCCCCCGGTGGCGGCGGCCGGCCTCACCCTCACCCCGAGGCCGGCCCCCGCCGTGCGCCTCCCGCACCCCTCGGGCTTCAATGCCACCCATCCGGTACCCCGCCCCGCGACAGTTGAGCCGCGTCACGCCCTCCCTCGCCGTGCCCGAGCAGGGCTGGAGAGTAGGAGGAGGCGAAAACCCTGGGCCAGGGTCGAAAGGGCGTGGGGGGGTAATAGGTCTGTTGGCGAAGATTGGCCTCTTCGTGTGAGAGGCGCCGCCCGCTCGTCTCGAAGCTCACTCAGCGACGCGGTCGGCTGGAGGCTGCACAAAAAACGGCAGCGGCCAATGATATATACCGACGACCCGGCTACGAAGAAGTTTTTCCCCCAGAAGTCGCTCTTTCCTCTGGAGGGAAAGCTAAAAATACATTTTTCTTCCCCTGAGAGAGAGATTTGTGTCACCCCCCGGGGAAGGCATTTCCGTCGCTTTGGAGAAGGGGGTGAACCGCCCCATCCTCGATCGCCGGGCATAGCTCGCCTCCGAGTTTTCACTCACGCCGCGGGTAGGTAGGGCCTTTAGGGGCCTAGAGCCCCCCCCCCCCCCCCCTCTCCCCTTTCTCCCAGTAAGCTAAGAGTGCACTTGCCCGGATCCTGCTGAACAAGCTCCTCTTGTAGCTCGATCGGTCACACCACCATCACCGTCGAGGAGAGGGGGGGCGACACTGCTTCGGCAGCGTGCACCTCGATCCTGTACCGTCCGTGTTTGTTATGACCCCCCCAATGAACACTCACTCCGGTGAGGGAGGGCGAGACGATCGAGGGGTCCTGCTCGGCAGATGCCCCATAGATGCGACACCTTCCCACGCGTGACGGCGCAGCGCGTAGTAACAAGCCACTGTAGCACCGCGCGACTGCCATGCGTCAGGTATGCTCCTCGGCTTCCTGCTCGCGACGCTTCTCCGGTCAGGCGCGGGCGCGCATGGGTCGTCGCGAGGTTTCCTCTTCCCCGACCAGTCCGAGCCTGAGCCGGAACCTGAAAGCATGGTTGGCCGTTGGTTGACGGCCGCGGGGTTCGTGCTGCTGCCTTTGAGCTGTGCGTAGACGCATGACGGAGAGTTGAGAAGGGTCGGGAGGCGAGGAGAGGAGGCTGCCCGCGCTACAAACGTAGCGCGCGTTGGTGCGCCGTTATAGGGCCTTCATGCGAACACAGTCCGAATGGCGATGAAACTTGCTCCTTTCCCCAGGCCGGTCAATGTATTGACTCACACGCATTCTTGGTCTGGCTTATGCGCCACACGTAAATACTCTTGTTCTCGAACGGGGCACACCAAAAAGGCACGACGACGGTGAGAGACGGGTGAGGAGCGGGTGGGCGACCGTGGCCCGTGGCCCGGCTGGGCTGTGTGGAATAACCGGAAGGGGCGGCGAGGGCCATCGCGCAATCGGTCGGGCTGGGGGAGGCTGCGGCGCGGCTGCGCGGCGGGATCGAATAAATAAAAAAGTGCAGTAGAAAATCCAAAATCCAAATCGCAAACATAGAAACCCAAACACACACAGCCACGTGGCACAAAGCCGTAAAGTAGGAGAGCAGGAGGTGCAAAGGAGGTCAGCACAAGTTCCAAGGACGCACGAGAATAAATAAAACGATCAAACTCTGAGACGAGATGGGATTTAGGGACATGTCGGGAATGACAGGGGTCGGTCAATAAATCTCAAAATAACCAACCCCGTGTGTACACTGTACCGCCCACCTTCCCAGAGACGCGGCGATTGTGACCGGGTGCATCATGTTCATGTCATATTCTCAAGCGCGGTCACAAGGTCACTCCTTTGCGCGCAGCTTGACCGAGACCGTGAGCGCGCCGTTTACCACAAAGCCAGAGCTCGCATCTCGGAGCTCCGCCAGCGTCACAAACTCCCGAAAGCCCCAATCGCAAGCGCGCACGCTGAACTGGTGGTCGGCGTCTGCGGCGCACGCGGGGCGGTGAGGCCGTCGCTGCTGGCGCCGGAGCGCCGCGATACAAAGGCTGCGGGCGCGCCTTTGACGACGTTGCGCGACGGCTCCTGGTTGTGGATTGTGAGCGTGAAGTGCGCATTCCGCGTCCACCCCATCGGCAGCGTCGCCGAGTCGGGGACGTCAAGGTATGCCGCCAGGTGCGGCGTCTTGTTGCCTCCGGGGAAGAGCAGGAGACGCCTGCGGCAGGGCGATGGTCTCACCAGAGGAGTGATGTGCGGTTGAAGGCGAGACAGGGGGGGCGCTCCAGTTGTACTGGCCGCTCGTGAAGACGGGCGAGTAGAGCTTGCCATCGATGTACGTCGACGAGTCCCAGAAGCCCCCGAAGGACCAAGTGTACTCCATCTCCTCGACCGTAAAAGGAGCGACTGGGGCGCTGCGGCCTTTGCGGGCAGGGCCTCCATTCTCCACAAGGAAGGAGTCGCCCTCCGCCAGCCCGTCTGGGACGGTGGCGAAGAGGGAGTCGCCGCCGGGGAGGGGCACCTGAGAGAGGGGTGAGGGGCGGGGTGGAGGGCGGTAGTGGAGGGGCGGCGCTGGGGGCGGCAGTCGGGAGGGGCGAGGGGAGCTGCGGCGGCATGGTTCAAGGCGCGCCTTGAGCCGCTGTCCGCTGGTGATGCCCTTGGGGACCCTCACAGAGTACTGCACGCTCGCCGGTGCGCCAAGAGAGGGCAGAGGGCGGGGAGCAGGCGAAAGCGGAGGAGGCAGCTCAGCCACGGCCGGCGAGTCGACCACGCGGCGGGCGCGCCTTTTCAGGCGGCGAAGAAGCGACACGTCCGGCCTCCTCTTGGCCTTGGGCACATTGTACGAGTCTATGCAACGGTGTGCGGCGCGTCAGACGGGGGGCGGGATGGGAGGCGACTGCGCGCAAGGGCTCACATGGCTCGTCGTAGCTCTCATCGTAGCCGGCAACGTTGGCGCGTGCGTTGGCCTTGGGCACATTGTCGGCAATGAATGCCTGGAAGCCAAGCCTCGTGCGAGCTCCAACATACTTGCTCAGGTAGCCCGTCTCGTCTGTGTACACAAGCACGGTCGGGTAGCCCTTTATGCCCACAAACTCACACAGGTCGGCAAAACTCGAGCAGTCAACCTTGACCATCAGCGCATCGGCGTGGCCAGGGGCCAGGCCGCTGTGCATGATGTTGTGGCGCGCCGCCGCCCACTCAGACAGGAGCGCGTGGGAATGCTGGCACCAAGGCGTGTAGAACATGACGAGAGCGATTTTCTTCACGGCTAAAGTCGACGCGAGCGCCACAGCGCCTTGGATCTCCGGGTGCACCACGAGGTGCGCCGCCCGCACTGCGGAGCCGGAGTGCCGGACGCCCTTAAAGAGCTTCGTGCGGGACTCGTGGATGTCGGTGCCGTCGTGAATGAACTTTCCCACGACCATAAGTAGGGAGACAGAGAGAAGGACGCATGCGACGAATGATGCAAAGTTTCGCACATCCTTCCACGTGCAGCTGCACTCTGACTTGATTGCCTCTGCAAAGCGCGCCGCCTCCTCGTCCTCCTCGTGGTCACGGGCCTGGCTCACAGATTCGCTCGCAGCTACTTTGCGGTACGCGAAGGCTCCCGGGGCGCCATCGTCCGTGGGGAGCGTGAACTCACTGATGTGGACAGGCATGAACTGCCTGGAGAGGAAAAGCCCCATGTGTGTGTGGCTGTCGGCGACGCGTGACAGAGACGCGTCCCTGCCACAAAGATGGGTGTGAGTTTCTTTTCACCCCTAAACTAGCGGAAATTTTCGGTGTATCGCGAATGATCGCCTAACATCGCCTAATATCGCCTAATATCGCGCAATATCGCGCAATATCGCGCAATATCGCGCAATATCGCGCAATATCGCGCAATATCGCGCACCCTCGCGCACCCTCGCCCCGGCGGCGGTGACGGTGACGGGTGAGCCGGTGTGCGTGTTGAGCGTCAGCGCGAGGTCGAGCGTGTTGGTAGACGTCTCCTCGACGTCGGACACGTACGTCGCCTGTTGCAGCGCGCGCCGGTACGCCGAAAAGGGTGGGCCTGGGGCCATTGCGGCTTAAACGGCTTAAAGCGGGCCATGGCCTATTTTAAGGCTGCCTGGGCCGCCGATTCCTTAAACGGTCTTAAACGCTTAAACGGTGCGGGAGAGCTCCCGAGGTCGATG